AAACACCTGGATTTTAACCAATTTAACAATTCTTTATTTCTGGAAGAAGAGATCCCAGTCCTCTCACCACCTATTTCACAAAGCTGCTAATCCAAATTGATGAAAATCCCATTAGGATTCTTGGGTAACACTGAACAGCAGCTGCATCTGCTAATGCTTGCAAAATAAAATTTCAGCTTTTTTTTTTAAACAGTAGATCTACAATTACAGTAGGTAATGAATGATCCACACACAACCTTTAATCTCACCTCTTTGCTGAAATGTAATAGCTTAGCTCAAACCAAAGCTAAACCTCCATTTAGCTTGCTCGAATGCTTCATTTGGAAATTTTTATTCCTGGACTAAGCATGAAGGGAGGATTTCTTTTGTTAACACCTGAGGTTCTTTCAGATGTTTGCAGAACAGGAAAGAAAGGATGTGTCAATTCAGAGCTCAAGATGAAATTGTAATGCTTCACATAAGTGTGCACAAATCAAGAGAGCTTGTGCATTTGGAAGTCCATAAGCTCAACTTAAATACAGTAATTGATCTAGAGTATCTTGTTTCATTTTACATGAACATCCACTTCATTCTCAAGACACACATAAACTTGTGCAGGCAGATGAAAAGTTATGGTATCCCAGAGGATGAAATTCAAAGTAATAGTAAACAAAAATTAAGTTTCTCAAGAGTTACAAACTAATTTTACAGGCAAAGGATGTTAATTAAGATGACGAGTGCAAATGCACACAGGATATGCAAACAGTTTATAAACTCTCCCTGTTAACACTTTGGTTATCACCAGCACTAAAATTGAGAACAATGTGGATCCTTGTTTTAATTACTGTGTCCTTAAATTCCAATGAAATACTGTTCCTGTTTCCACCTTCTGAATGAAAATGCTGCAGAGTTAACTTTAAAAGATGGCATACACCACATAGGAGACTGAATGAATCCAGTTATAAAAGCAGTATTTCTCTATTTGCATTGGGGCAAATAAGGCAGACTGAGACAAGCTTAACTCAGTCAGAAGAATTCCTCTCTCCAGAGAAAGAATTAAGTGAAGTCAGGAACTTTTTTGTAGATTGTGAAAACAGCATCCAAAGCCAGGCTTACCTTATGGGCATCCAAAGGAAACAGCTGGCAGACATACCCAGTGGAGTTTTCACAGAAAGGGTAGGAAAGTGGAAAAGAATGCTTACTTAGATGGGAACAAGAAATTCTCTGGCTCATAAGCGTTGAACTAAGACTTCTGGAGGAAGATCAGTGAAGACCCACCCATCTGCACTCTGCCTGCAGTGTGGCAGAACAAGTTTATTATGAAATACAGAGTTAGATTGATTGGAGAAGGCATCCAACTGGTCATTGACTCCTGTTTGTTGCATTTTCACTTGCAGGAAATACAAGGTCAGAAAAGAACAGATAACACAAACATTAGGCATCTCCTAATATTAATAAGCAGCAAATTTTATTATTAATATTTTGCTTAGAGAACCCTGGACATTGACAGTACCATTAATAAGAATGGTTTGTGATTATTATTATCAGAAGAGAAATACTGTTGAAAGCCTGCACTAGATACCAATTTAAATTTGTGAATGGTAAAGTTTGTATTCATCATATTAAAATGCACTTTATTAAAATATGTAAAGTAGAACAGACAGTATAGAACAGATGCTTTGAGGAAAGCCTGCCAGCTGTACACCAGTATTTGTATATGAGACCAAACTAATTTATTTAGAATTCCTATGACCCATAGAGAAATTCTTTCCTCTCTCATGCTGAGAGAGGAAACTAAATGTGTCTGGTGGAAAATAGAACAACAAAAGATGGGAACAGGTTGCTCCTGAGGACACTTTCAAACATATATAATAAGATCCAATGGTCAACTCTCATGTTAAAGAACTCTCATCTATGTCACCACACTGTAATGGTACAAATAAAACAAAAAATTTCACAAAATTGAAACCAGGTTTGCTACACCTAGATGGAAAAGAGCCACTCTCTTAATCTTTCTTAATTCATCAGTAAAGTGTATGGATCATCACCCAACAAAAGGATTAACAAGAAAAGCTTTGTGTATTTCCTTAACTAAACAGAAGGAAAAAAATAGTAGAAATGGCTTTGGAAAGCCACTCCTAAATGATGATCTGCATTTGAATGCCTAGAATTATTCATTTAAAAAACAGTGCTGGAGAAAATTCAAAGACTGTCTCCACTGGATTTTCACTGCACTAGAAGCAGGTCAAGTATGTAAAAATCCTTCTGGTGAAAGTCACCAGTAATTTTGAAAAATTAAGGTAACTGTGACTTCCAGAATTCAAAACACAGTTGCTTCAACTCAGGTTCAGCTAGGAAAAGTGCACTGATTTCATTAGGAATTTTCTAGAATGGCCCTGCTTGCACAGGGAGGTTGGACCAGATGACTCCACTGTGGTCCCTTCCAACGTGACCCATTCTGTGAATACACTTCAAGTGTGCAAATCCTCCTATGGAATAGAAAGCAACTTCCAAATAGAACTTGGACTAAACTAAATGAAAAATATTTAGGCTGCTTCCTCCTAAATATTACATTGTTTGCACTTGACCTCAACATTATCTTTTGTTTGGTGCCATAAATTTGTCTGGAATAAGAATAATTTTGGCAAGAGGCTTTTGAATCTACATTTGGCAGACAGTGGACATTGAAACTGCTGGAGTAGCCAAAAAGAAGAAAAAAAAAAAAAAAACAGAGAAAGAGAATATGGAAGAAGTAAGTAATTCATAAATTAAGCACAGAATGACAAAATACCTGAAGAAGTGAAATTTGTCTAGTTGTGAATGTTGACTTTTTCTCAATCCAAGCCGCTCAAAATAAAGTAGTGCTCGGGTCTTCCTTAAGCAAGCAATGCACACTTTCAACTGACAGAAATTATTCCTGTCAATTATCAATTGCTGATGTTACAAAGATGCCCAAAGGTGAGCAAAACACAATCTTAGTTTGCCCCACTTGTGTTGGTAGGACAAGCTTTTCCACAGCAACTTTCTATGACAATTCTTAGGCCTCCTCAGACTGTAGTAGTAAAAAGTAATCAAAAATGGAGAATACTCAGCATTTCCTCTGTCCTCCTTGTATCACTAAACGTGTGACAACATCATATCTCACTTGTACACTACCAAAATCTTACAGAATTGGTTTGTTTACCCCTGGGGAGCATTTACCACTTTTAAATATTCTGCTGCATCTCTGGCTCACCAACCCCAGGTGTGTAGTTGTAGTGCAGCTAAGTCTATCCAACAGTGGGTACCTGCTTCTGAAAGAACAAATCTCTTCCTCACCCTCCCACCACCTCTCTTCTAAACATCTAGCATCACAGAGAGCTGGCCAACCATTAAAGCAGCAGAAAATGGTTTGAACTGGTTCAGTTTGGATCACGGGAAAACAAAGGCTGGCACAAAGGAGTAGGCATCAGGAACAGAAAAGGGGCTCCACTGATTCCTCCATTAACAAGTTAGAAAGCAACCATTGCAACACCTTCACCATATTGAAAAATCAGACCAAAAAAAAGGCATTTTTACATTTATTTGAGATAATAAGCACCATTCCTTTTCTTTCTGAAGGAAAAGAACTTGTGCATAAGGAAGCTGAAGATTAGAAGCTTCACATGTCCATTAACTAATACAGCACTCCACAGCTGATTTTACAATGTTATATACTATTTTTACAGTACTTTATATGCACATAAAATTCCTTTCAATTTCAGCTGCACATACTAAACTCTCAGCAGTCAGCAAATCGGTCGCAACATGACTAACACCATCAGCAATCAAACTCTTCTATTTGTAGATTTGCTAACAATCCTGGAACAGTGTAAGAACTGTCACAGCTCTCTAAATGTGATCACCTCCTTCTCTCACAATCCTGTCTCATCTTCCCAGCTTTCAAAGCCTGCAACAAAGTGATGAACCCACTTGATGCTGAACCTGATTCAATATAAGAGCAGCGCTCATGCTATTAGAATAAAAAAGGCATGGGGTAAGGCAGAAAATATTAACAAAGCCTGCAAAAATATGAATATTGCAGTGAAAGCAAACTAGGGTTGCACATGCAATCAGTTCCTGAATGCTTGACTCCAACATTAGCTTTCTGGTAACTGGGAACTTCTGGGAATTTTCATAAGGTAGTTTTGTAACAAAGCACCAGAAACATGCTGACACCTTGGGGGATCACAGACGAACTACATCCTTTGGACTCACTACATTGACCTTTGCCACTTCGGCTGATCAATGACAGCTGGAATAAATCAGTCCACAGAGGGAAACAAATAGCTATAAAACCTGTTAGCAAGGAACAAATACACATGGAAGCAGTAATTTTTGGGCTGAAGCCAAATTTCATAGGGATTGGGCTTGAAACCTTTGTCTCCTAGTCTCCTCTTACAATATGCACTTTGCTTATCCCTCCCTTATCCCACTTGCTATTTATGACTCATCTATCATTTAAGTGACATTGCTTCTTTACTCCAAAATACAGGAGTGGCCTCCCTTTTGAGCTTCCAGATAACTGGCAGTAAGAATTAAGATTTGTATCTGCTACCCTGCAGTCTCTAACAACATTTAAAATAACGAGCAAGAAGTGTGCACTGAACTTCTTGCATTTGCATAATTGTATGAGTGCAAAGGGCTTAAGAAGAGAGAAAGCAAAAGTCAGCAAAATCATCTGTATTAAAGACAAACCTTTGCTATTTAAGCTCCAGAACTTTGACTGCCAAAATCTGTAAATGAAGGACTTGAAACACAATATAAACATCTGTGTTGGACAGTAAGACATGAAGCATGTTCAAATAATATGTGCTACTGCTATTTTAAGCTATAAGATATCTGACTTCAACATTGCTGCTCTAAAAAGGGAAAGCTATCCCTGGAGTTTGGTACAGGTTGTTCAGTAATTTGTACAGTCAATACACCCTCTTAACAGTTTTTCAATATTCTCTTCCAGCAGACAGAACGTGTTGCTACAAAAAAATTTGAGAAACAGTATATGCTTGCTAAACAAGAATTATGTTTATTTAGCTAGTGAATCACCTAGAGGAGTAAATTTTCACTTTCATGATAGCAATCTGTCAGGCTTGCAAACACCCAGAAATAGGAATTAAAGATTATTTTAAATGTAGTTATAAAGGTCATAAAAAGTCTGATTTAGACTGAGGTACATTTACTCAAAACTGAGATTCATTGAGTGGTAGCAAACAAACAGTTCCTCAGACAAATGCACTTTTTTCAGTATACATGTTACAGAAAAAAAATAAAGAAATGTGCATTAACTGGTGGTGTCCACCAAGCTGCATATTAATATTCTCTTACACCAAACAGTTTGAAACAAGGGAAATGTCATTCTATTATAATTTCATGTTACGATTCATTTGGCTAAATTGCAGCTTAAAGTTGCTTTGCCATATTAAAAGATTACTACAATAATTTTCACATGAACATTTAGACTTGAGTTTTACTCCAGGACTAAATATGGCATGATTTGCTTTTAATCTGTTGAATAGCTAAAAACTGACAATTAAAAAAACTACAACAAAGAAAAAATTAAGTTGAAGCAATGTGAATCTCACATCATTGAACCACTTCTAATGGTTAAATGTTAGTATTTAACAAATTCAAAGAGTTAATGAATCCTTGCATTCGTTCGGTCTCCTGTGCCTTAGCTAGGATGCATAAATACAAAAGACAGCAGATACTGGTAAAAGCTTCAGGACAGAAAGTGCTTGACGAAGGTACAGTTCTCAAGTGTGTTTGGTGAGAGAGTATAAGGGCAGATGCACTGATGAGAACCATTACAAGAAGAGTCAATTTCGTGTTAAAGTGTTCAAAGATGTCACCTTAAGCAGAAAAAAGCTTTAATAACGTCTTCTTAGACATATTAGGCATTTCCAGAGTCTACATCATTAGTGTTGTATTCTAGCAGGACATCTCCATATAGTTATTGTTTGTTTCTATTTCTCTCCTGAAAAAAAACAAAAACAAAAAAGGACAATCATGTTAATACACACAGATCAACATTATCTGCTTTTCTTTCATTACAGCATTTTCATTGCTTGCAATTTAGCTAAATCAGGCAACATACTTTCAAGGAAAATGCTTCAATTATTTCCAGGAATATTAAATTATACCATTCAAGTCAACTTCTTAAAGAGAAACACAGACGTATACACCAAACTAAAAGGCAAACGTTCCAAAAAACTGCTATCAAGAAAGAACTTATGTCAGTTTTAATTCACTTACAGTGAAATATATTGCACAAAGTGAACTGAGCAAGGAGACCAAGGGACCTACACACAAAGCAAGATGTACCCCAAATCTTCTGCTTAGCTTGTCAAAAAATGCTCTACTCTCTATCCATTATATCCCTGAAAAACATGATATTCCCAGGTATCTCCATCAAAGCCCCATATAATAAAAAATGCTTAAGATCAAAAGGTAAAGTAACTAGTTGGCCCAACACCTCATCCAATGTGGCACTATGAGATGCCACATTTGGCATTTAGGGCTAAAATAGTAATGGCACTGTAACTATCAGGGACTACCAAATCCACATTCTGTAGTACAGGTTTAACAGAATAAATGCCACTGTGCTTTATCATCATTCTCCATTTTCTCTACTTAGGTCAAGATAAACATATTCTTTGGGATTATGGCCACCTCCAGGAAAAAAAAAACTGATCAACAAATGATATATTGTTGCCTGCATAATACATCTTCTAGCCTGCAAAAAGACACTGGTCAGTGTAAAAAACTACAACCTTGTCTTTCAATAGCATTTTCCTTAATAACTTTTTTTATATGTACAACTAAACACATTAAAGAAATATACAAATACCTGCATGGAAGAGAGGTAGGTTCCCATCCCCATTAAAAGATAATAAAAAGTATAAAGTACCTCTCCATATTTTTGTTATTATTGCATACTATAAATGGAACAATAACAGCAGGGAAACAAAATAACCCAGAAGGCATTTGAACATCTATTTCAAAACCACATTGAAATTTTATTATGCTAGAAACTATTTAAGAAAATTGAAAATGAGCATATGACCCCACATAGATTCTTCCAAAAGGCAGTCTACTGAAAGAAGGAGGTATGTAACATAACATTTATACTGGTTATTACTGGTGATCTAGTCCTTTCCAAGACAGATCTCCAAGTTGCTTCAAGGTGAAACCAAAACAATAAAGCCCAGTATTGGTCACAATGAGCAGCTCATGGTCCCAGCAGCTGTGTGTCTAAGACTAGACATTAGCCAGAGTAGAATTTCAGTATATTTAAAGTGAAAGCAATACTTACACTACTCTGCTAGAAAACTATTTTTGCTAGTTCAAAAATACGTAACTAATATTTTCATAGTGAGATACTGCTTTTTAAGGTTGATAGTATCAGTCATTAATACAATCTGATATCTTAACAATGCACTCTTGGCTGAAAACAGATGATGACTGGCCTCATGCCTCACTATGCATGTAAGGCATGCAAAAATAGCCTGCTCAGGCACATCTCAGATTATTCCTCTAATATTAGCAGACTTCAACTGCAACAACTACACAAAGTGTTGAAAAACACTCTTGTAGGAGCCTATGAAACTGCAATGTTAAAATATACACCAATTTTAAACACAGCCTGTATACAACTAAAATCATCCATCAGTTCCTGTTCATTTGCAAGTATTACACACACAAGCACTGACTCAGGCTGTCTAGAAAGACTCTCTGCATTTCAAACTGCTGTACTATAAACTGACCAACACTATGCTTTGTGAAGCTCTCAACTCAAAACACATTTAAGTTCATAAAAATTCAAAGTAGAAAAGGAATGATACCCTGAATACCCTCTTCCACTTGATGAAATAAAGGAAGTGTTGCAAATTTTACATCTGCTTTGAATTCTAGAGAGGAAAAAAAGGCTTCAAAACATCAGCACATCTTTCCTGTAGTCTCAAAATTACATATTACTACATCTATATTTAAATACTTCAAGCAGACATACAAGCATGATTTATCAATGCAAGTGCATAGCACATTCTTCAAATACTGGTATTGCTGCCATTTGGCACTCTGTACTGCAAAACAGAGAGAAAGAAGACCTGATTTACTCAAATCACAGGCAGTGCTATTCCACTTAAAACCAAACCCCTCCCCAACTACAACATACCACACTCCTGGACCACTGTCTTTTCCTATCTCAAAAAGTACTTTTCCTGGGGGTTTTGGGCATTTTGGTTTTTGAGTTTGTTGGTTTTTTGGGGCTTTTTTTGTGGTTATAGACAAACTAACAGAAGAATTTACCTCCTGAAGGCTTCCAGTACCAGAGTAGAAATTTCCAGCATAACCACTTCTCTTTTGCCCAATTAATTTCATTTCTTATATTCAGATAAGCAAAACTTTTATCACATCTCTTGCAATGCTCTTGGATGAAAACTTTCTCCTGTATATTTAAGTTCCCTGCCAAAGGTCAACTCACCATAGTCAGACTACCCAGCTGCAGGGGGAGTTTGTGAACAGGACATGGAAATTAAGTGCCATTCAAATCAGGATGATATGGGAACATATTGGCTGGTTAAAGGTACTTTCAGCTGCAGACCATATGGCCAGCACATTTCACAGATGCAAATAACTTTCTGTACAAGCCAAGTAAAGGTGAATCTGAAAACTCCTCCAGCCTTAGAAATGTGCATCAATCTAGTATAAACAAAGCTATGAAATTAGCCTGGTCTGAGCTGCTAAGCTGACTTACTTCCAAATTTTAGTTGTCCGAATTCAGAGCATTAATTGAATGATCCCATGCTGAGAAGTAGCTGCAATGTAATTTATCCTCAGATATAATGAAATCTCTGTGCTAACAAAATTTCAAAATTCAAAGCAACAAAAACATTTCCTGATCTGATTTGAAAGAAGCTACTGAGATGCACACAACCCTGACTTTGGGATTTCTTTGCTACAAAGAAGGTAAATGAAAAAGCCTCATTTTAAGTAGTCTACATGTAAATGCAAATGTAGCCTAACATGAAAAAGAAGCTAATACAGTCTTTGGCTGTATTTTTTTCCCAAGGTCTCACAAACTGAAGCTCAAGGTCAGAAAAGGCAGATCTGAAAGAATGACTTTGGCTGATTTTTGTAGTAGTTGCAAGTGCAAGCATTTCAAGGTGTCCATTTGGAAGCTATCCAGGGTTGCATATTTACACAGGCCAATTGCAGAGCTCCCACACACCCTCCAGCACTATCAGCTATAATTGTAAAAAAAACAACCAAACAAACAAAAAGAAAAAAAAAAACACCTCCAAACAAACTAGAATTTTGCCAAACCTCTGCCTCTTACTGCAATGTTGAAAGCGTTCATGCCTGGAGCTGTCTACTCTGCCCCTCTCCCATGAGGGAGCATTCTAACAACAGCTTCAGAAGCTGCTTTACTGCAAACTGTGATTTAATCTTCAACTTAGAAGCCCTGCTCATCTGCAATGTAAGCTAACATGTCAGACTGCATTCTGTGAAGTGAGGCACAGGAACTCATCTGCTCTGCCAACTGTGCTGCGTGGGCACAAACACCTGGCAGAGGCAGAGCAGGCAGCTGGAGAGGTGGTGAAAAGAAGCCACAGCAAAGCTCATGAAATCTCATTTACTAATGGCAGCAGCCATAATCTGAAATTTATTTCCCTCCAGTGTACCATTAAAGCTAGGACAACATAAGCATTCACCTTAAAGCTTGAGAACCACAATGAAAAACCGATTACTGGAAAAGAGAAAAATTCCAGAAATTGTTTACTCTGCTTATATCACTGGCTGTTAATATAAACTAGATTACTGAAACTTTAAAGTTGTGTAAAATACTGGTCATTTTTAACTTTTCACTCTTGAACTCCCAACTGAGAGGGCACATCTCCTCAACACAGAAACAACCTCAGAACAGTTAAATATATTTAAATTAATTTCTGAGAAGCACTTCTGGGAAGAAGGGAGGGAAGGAATAGATGAGAAGGGTCTCTAGAAATCTTAAATGATCCTAGAAATTTTTCTTGTGCAGATGCCATTCCCTCCCTAAACACTAATTTTCTTCTATTCCTTGACCCAACATGAAAACCACAAGGCACAAATTAAAAATCAAAGTTAACATACAAAGGCAAATAAGCTTTTACAACTTCAGAGTAGCTTCTTTTCCCAGTATACTTTGGAAATTAATACTCATCTGAGACCCTGTTGCCGCAGATCAGTTGAACTATAGATAGTATATAAAGGTTCTCAAGTACATAAATATTAAGAAACTCTGCAAAAGACAGAAGACCTAGACTTCTAATTTATTTATTCTTCCTACTAGTTTTGATGGCATTTTACTTAGTCACTGAAACATACTTGTAAGCATATTTTCCTATTATAGGAAAAAAACGTGAAAAAGTACTGTAAAAATATAAATAAATCTAAATTTGATCAAACTCACACACTGTTAGTAGAACATGAACAGACCATATGATTTTATTATGAAAATGATAAAGGCAGTAAGAAGTTAATCCCCATCTGAAATTCCACACAGTACAAAAGTCAGAGGTGGAGAAAGAAACCCAACTACTTAAAGACACTGTATGATAACACACAACAATGAAAGGCTCTGCAGAAACCAAGCTTGAACTCCATGAGCTAGAAAAGCCCTTCCAGTCTTGTCTTCCCAGGCAGATTCTTTCAGTGACAGATCAGCTAATTCTAACTACAAGCAGCAGGTGCTTTGCTTCAGCGCTGTACATCATTACATACTGAAATATCAGACTTTAATTATCTACAAGACAGCCATTTCAGCAAGATGATTTAAAAAAAAAAATAAGCCTCCAGATCCTCACTATTATTTGTCAACAATGCTCAGAGTATAACATTGGCTTTTAAAGACAAGAGATAGCTTCTTAGCAAATCTATAGAAATTGCATTTAGTGATGACCTCTGTCCCAGCAAAAGAAGCAGAAGGATGACTGA